TTTTTTCAACTCAAAATAGGGAAGATACAAGCATGTACCTCATAGAGTTGGTGAGAATTAAATGAATTAATAGGTAGAAAGCATTTAGAACAATGCCTGACAATAAACGCTCAAGAAATGCTAGCTGTTGTTATTGGTGTTATAATTAGTATTGTTTCTCTTATTATGAAGTAAAATAATATAGTTTTTAAAAAGTCCCGGCTTTTCTCTCTTTCTCTTTTCATTCTCTGGTAGACTAACTAATAATAAATAAAATGGGGGTGGGGGGGTGGGTAGAAAGAATAAGTTAAACAAGGACCCTGGAAAATTAAAACCCTGCACAATCAGATCTGGAATAACCAAGAATTGTATACAACAGCCAAATATTTAAATTCCAATCTCCAAGCAAAATTGTGTAGGGTCCTGAACCACGTGTGAGGATTTGCGAAAGTCCACATGCTTGGTCCCACCTCGTACTAACCAACTTTGATTGTCCAGAGGTGGGGCCCAGGTAACTAACTGTCCAATAATGTACAAGGGCAGCCCACCATTGCACTGAGCAATGACTCATTTTTTATCTTTAGATTCATTTGGAAGGCTGCTATATATTCTAATATCTAAAAACTTGTGCCTTTTCTTCATTAAAACAATTTAAAAAATAACAGTGCCTTTCTGCTTTGTTGAAAAGAAAAGGGAGGGCCTCTTTCTATGTGCCTTTCTATCAGTCACTTAAGACAATTTTGCTAATCAATGTTAGGGCAAAGTGTGTGGTTTCTGACTGTGCCTATTGCTGAGCTATTCCTGATCAACTTGTGTACCTATTGAGAATGTAGTTCTGCACCTTCCCATCCTCATTTTAGAGCCACACAGACCTTACTGATTAGATAGATCTGTATGGCTCAGAGCAGTAGAACAGGAGGTGGAGTGGAAAATGAGAAAGTACTACCGCAAGAGTCTCCTGATTGATTTTCCTCGCATGCTGCTTTACTCTTCTACCCACCAACAACCTTTTTTTTCTAAAATAGCAGATCAACACATACTGAGTGGTTCCCCATGACACAGAAGACAAAGCCCAGCCTCTTCAGCCTGGCACTGGAGGCCATGCATCACATGGCTGCAGTGAGTCTCCCAAATTCCTAACAGACACCCTTCAGTTTCCTCACATCTCTCAAGGCACCTGGCAGAGCTGAGGCCACAGTGCCTGGAGCCATCTTCCTCTCATCTCCCCAGTCCTCCTTCTCCTCTTTCTTCTCCTTTCTCTGAACTCCTCCAGCAGGAAATGTCTGTGTCACTTCTTAGGGCTCTTAGTCATATGGGCCACATTTTAAATGAATGATTTCATGCATGTGTGATTTACCTCACTAACCAGACCAGAACTCCCCAAATTGGAGGCTCATGGGTTGAATTCAGCCCACATACTAGTACATGTTTTGCTTGGCCCACACAATGTTTTTGAAGAATTTGAATTAGTTGCCAGCATTTTTAAAAAATCAGGAGATGGCACATAATAAAACTCTGGATTTCTGACTCTTCTTGACACATGGAAAGCTCTGACAATGTAGGATCAGCATTCCAGGATGGTTTCAATCTGCTGGAGCTGCGCAATGATGATCCCTTTAGAAGTGGTGTGTCCTCTCCGCTTCAGCACCCCCTCAGTCCTGCGCCTGACCACCCCTCTCCCCCGCCCGCACTCCGTCACAGAACTTATTGTCTCCTGCAGCCCTTTAAACTTGCAACCTCTGACCTACACTCTAAGTCCCTGGAGGACACTGCCTTTGTCTTCATCTCCTCACTTCCTCAGTGCTTAGTACACTGCTATTTACATAACAGGTGGTGAAAAACTACTTCCTGAGTGGAAGGAAGAAAGGCCAGAAGTAAAGAAGCAGATGAAAGTGATGAATCAGAGAGATGAGGATGAAAGGAGGCCGAAGCTAAGGACACATGAGTGCAGCGTTTTTCAGTGCCTCAAAAAGAATGGGAAATGGAAGACCTTGTTCTTTTATAGTTTCAAATGGCAGTGATGCATAAAGCTCTTTTAGAAAATTAAAAGAGGCATTTTGTTTTTAAAATAACTTCCCAGAAGCTGGACAAGAGAAACAACTTAGATTATCTAATGAGGCTCTTCAACTCTGAGTATACTTTACTATGTCAACAGTGAAGTGAGCCAGTCTTTCCTTTTTAAAAGGAAAACCACACGCTTTATGCCTTGCTTTGTATTGCTGACTAGGTAAAAGAGAAATGATCCTAAAGGCCACCTTTGTTTCATGTCTATCTATGAATACACTGTAAGAGATGCATGTTACCAAGGACCTTTTCCTGAACTTGCACCAAATACTTCTGTATGACTTCCATGATGCTCCTTCCATTCAAATGAGAGTCAAGTTCAGAAGGTCAGAAAGAACAGGCTTCCAGAATACTAAACACATTACTTAATGACTAAACTTAAAGTTAAACATCATGAAACTGTAGCTTCAGAGAAGTCAAGGCTTAACTCAATGTTCTGAACACTGGAGGTTTTACAGCTTCCCCCTCCTATTGAAAAGGCTCTGTAAGTTGACTGCTGAGCAGAACAGTCAGGAAAAATGTGCCTCACTGATCTGTTGCTGCCTCTGGGTTTGAGGGTATAAAGTAAGCTGAGTTGGAGGTGGGGTGCTGGGGAATTCAGAGAAGTGGAGAGACTTTTCAACTTGTCCTCGATGGTAGTTTGTCTTTGAACGACAAGCTTGATGAAGCAAAGCTGAGCAGAGCTTTAGACTGAGATGCATCTCAAGCTGCTGGGATAGAGAGGAGGTCACTAATGGAAAACACATAGATGCATCCAAGAACAGACGCCTGCCTCACTTGACTATTTGTCAAGTTTTCTCTATCTGCCTGCAAAGGTGAATCCATTTTCATTTCAAGAAATTACAACTTAAAAACTCATAACCACTGATAAACATCTGATTATAGGAAGTTTCACTCCACAGTTTCTAAAATTGTGCAGTCTCCTGAGAGAGGGATTAGAGTGTAGTGGGTAGTAAGGGCTCTGGGGTCAGACAAAACTTAGCCTGGAGTCCTGACTCTGCCAGTCAGTGAATTTGGGGCCCTAGGAAAGTCAGACAACTTCTTGCAGCCACAGTTTTCTCACCTACAAAAGGAGGATAAAAACAGTGCATACTGCATGGAATTATTCTGAGGTGTGAGTGAGAAAAATGCATTCAGATTACTTAGCACAGCACCTTGCAGAGTCAAGCTCTAATAACAAGCTATTTTCATCAGAATTTCTCACAATGTAGAAAAATTTAGATGGCCAGTTGGGTGAAAAGTCATCTGGATCTTCAAGGAATAAATACATAAACTGGTCTTGGTATCTTGCTCACAGTTGGTAATTCTAAACAAGGTTGAGGTCAATAACCCCTGTCAGAAAAACATGGGCTCTGAGTGATTTTTCCAGTAGGCTGAGCCAGCCATGCTCACACTTCTGTCCTCTGTGATCAAATGCATGCACTTCTGAATCAGTCAGGCAAGCGGGGGGATGCTCTGCATGAAGCCAACTCTCCCATTTGGGGGCCAATCCCACAGCCTTGGATTTTATCCAACTGAGCTAACTGGTAACAGATAACCAAAGGCATGGTCCCTGCTTGCTGGAGCTCAGCAGACCTTTACAGGGACACATCACAAAACTTTAACAAGATGCAGAACACAAAATGCATTTTAGTAATACCCAAGAACATGTAATGTTTCGGAGTTTGGAAAAACCACAGCTACTCTGTCCACTCCAATTTATAAGCAGATTCTACACCCTGAGAGATATGGGCTTTTATTGGCCTTTTTCCCTGATGATGTAATGAGTATCTGAAACTGACATGCCTAAGGCTGGAGAAGAAGCTCAGAACTAGAGATCACGTCATCTTTCCTTAAAGTAACAACAGCCCACTGCATCTTGGTTTCCTAAATAAAGACACTTGAAGAATACAGAGTCACAGAATAGTAGAGCTAGATGAGTCTTCAGAGTTTAGTCCACTGGAGGAGTGAAGAAACCATATGATAGGCAAAGTTTATATACCTCAGCGTTGGCTCTGCTAGCACTATTCCCTGACTCCGAGTCCAGAGCTTCCATTACAATCTGCCACTCTGAACCATCCAACTGTCAATTCCTCTCACATCACTACTTGGAAGTTGTGGGACAAACGATTTTTTCATTTTTTTAATGGTCTGGAGCTGCCACCAGGTTATATGGATGTGCAAAGCAACAAGACATTTGTTAACAGCTGCCTATAAAGTCAACATTAGCTATGTTAATTATATTACACACTTATTAATCCCCAGCATGTAAGCCAGCAAGTGCTAGAAGCAACTCTCACCTAGATGCCAAAATGTTAGAAGGTTATTTCTATTTAGCTCAACTAGAATATATTATGAACGTTCCTTAACTTTGCCTCACCGGCTAGTAAGCACTCAGTAACTATGATGTACTTATTTTAATACTGAACTATTTTTGTTTAAAATAGATATTTCTGGGTTATTAAATAAAAATTTCTAAAAACCCTCTCATAAAATTTTAAAAAGTAGATGTGAAAAAAAATAGATGTGAGCTCTAGAAAATTTAATAGTACTTATGAAATGATATATTGGAGGCTTGTCAGTTCATCAGCTGAAAATTTTATGAAGGAATCCCAGAGCCGAGAGTCAGACTTGGTTCCTAGCCAGGGTCTTGCCACACTCTCAGCTAGTAATAATTCTTGATGCCCTAACATTTTTCTATTATAAAATGCACCCAAATAGCTTTCCTCTTTATTCCTAGTATTTTCCTTCCTTCAAGCTCCAATAAGCTCTTGGTCCACCCTAGTGTCACTCATGACCTACCATTCACCTAGTACCCACATGCTACTTGGCCAACTTTGAATCTTCTTATATCTGTATCTTATGTCCACAACCAGATCAGTCAGGATCTCCTTCCTTGAATGCTGTCTTAGTTCAGGCTGCTATAACAGAATTTCATAGACTGAGTGGTTTATAAACAACAGGCAATTATTCCTTACAGTTCTGGAGATTGGAAGTCTGAGATCAGGGTGTGAGCATAGTGAAGTCCTGGTGAGGGCACTCCTTTGAATTGTAGACTGCCAACCTGTCATAGCTCACCTGGTGGAGAGCAGAGAAAAAGCAATCTCTCATGATTCTTCTTAGGACACTAATCTCATGCATGACTCTTGCCTCTTGATCTCCTCTAATCCTAATGACCTCCAACAGTACCCACCTCCTAATAACATCACATTGTGAGGAGAGGGATTCCAACATAAGAATCTGGGGTGAGGAGTACACAATTCAGACTATAATAAATGCCTAAAACTAAGCCAAGGCTTTGCACCCATGGGTTGTCCGTGATACAAACTACCCTATCAGAAAATGAGGGGGCTGTACACATTAAATAAAAATTTCTAAGAATCCTCTCATAAGATTTAAAGAAGTAGATGTGAAAAAAATAGATGTGAGCGCTAGAAAATTTAACAGTATTTATGAAATAATATATTGGAGACTTGTCAGTTCATCAGCTGGAAATGTTGTGAAGGAATCTTTGGACTCCTCAAAGCTAGTCAGAAAAAACCCAATATTCATCAGATTGTGAATCTAATATAAAGAGGGAATATGCTAATTCACTTCCACACCCACAAAGATGGCGGCGCCCACAGCCACAAGATGGTGGTGCCCAGTCCCCTCAGCCCCTCCAGGGTGGCAGGCACATGGCAAGGCTGGGCCTGCCCCCAGGTGGGCCAGGCCGCTCCGCACACCTGCCTCCGGAGTCCCCCAGTCCCCTCAGCCCCCCAGCCGCCCAGGGCCAGCCTGAGGCGCAGGTAACCAGGGCCAGCCGAGGCTTGCACTGCCGGCAGTGGCAGCAGCAAAGGTGTGATGGGGGGGGGGGGGGGGGGTTCACCTCCCACCCCTGAGGGCTCCTGGACTGTGAGAGGGGGTTAGGCCAGGCTGAGGGACCAACCCTCCAGTGCATGAATTTTCATGCACCAGGCCTCTAGGTTAACATAAAATGAGCAAGAGTGTACAACACTAATTAGATTCTCAAATGTTTAAGGCTAGAGTTTTCTTGAGTTACATAACTCCTTTTTTCTAAATATTTGGGATAACCATAGAAACTACCCTTCTCTCAAGAGTATTTGAGAACTAAAAAACTGGGAAAGGAAGAGATTAAAATGTAAATGTGAAAACAAACATATCAATGTCCCAGCAGTGGTTATCTCTAGGAGGTGCAGTTATAGGTAATTTTATTTTTATCTTTGCATCTTTGTGTATTTCCCACATTCATTACCATGAACATGCTACTCTTATAATCATAGAGAAACTCTAAGAAGCTTTAAAATAAAGGTAAAGATAAAATCTTCAGGATATATAGATATTTGAAGAAAGACAAATTAGGGTGCTCTTAGCATCAGATGGTGAGTGCCATGGGATGATAACATGTCCGAGAATTCCCAAGAAGAGCATGTGGCCACATGAATCATATAGTGAATGTGATTTCCATACTTAGGCGGAATGGATCAAATTTGCCAATGGGATTGGCTATAATGAAGAGCTAAGCGGGTGTTTTAGTGTTATTGATGATTTTGAGGAAAGCTAGAGAAGCATGTTATTCAGGATCTGAGGTTAGGGCTTGAAGTGACAACCAACTACTGAAACACTATGTGTACAAGAAGTAATTGTATGAAACCATGACAGGGAGAACTGGCAGACCCTTAACCCAGGCTAGGGACTGCCCAGAGATGTTCTACAGGGCAAGATCAGTGTCTATAGGGAGTCTAAGACAAGAGACTTCCAGAAAGACAATTCTAAACCTGAAGTCAAAATACTGTAGACCAAGAGATAAAGGGGGGAGATTGGGAGCAGAAAAGAGAGAAGCACAAGGGCCAAAAGAGACTCCAGTTATGAAAGGGCTTTCAAATATTTCTAGAAGGGCCTGTGCTGTGATTAATGAAATCAAAGCTTAAGAGAGAAACATGAGACAGAATTTGAAATTATTTTGAAAATGTCAGTTCTTGCATTTAAAAATATATATATTTTTTTATTGATTTCAGAGAGAAAGGGAGAGGGAGAGAGAGAGAGAAATGTCAATGATGAGAGAGAATCATTGATTGGCTGCCTCCTGCATGCCCCCTATTGGGATCGAGCCCACAACCTGGGCATGTGCCCTGACTGGGTATCGAACCATGATCTCCTGGTTCATGGGTGAACATTCAACCACTGAGCCACACTGGCCAGGCAGCTCTTGCATTTGAATGCAACTGTAACACCAGAGATGGTGAGAAAGAAGGGTCAGAAGGCTATGGAATCCAAAGTCATTGTGATTGAATGTGTACATCTCATCCTGAGTTTGGAGGTATTGCTGGAAATCTGCCAAAAAAAAACCAGAGCAAAACAGGGAAGAATAAACCAATGATCTGTCTTCCTTTCCCCAGTATGTTCAATAGAGTTTCTTTGAACTACATTAGGAAGAAAATTAAGGTTGAATTCCTAAGTCTTGGGTCAGGGGTGGACAGCTCCAATACCAACAAGGGTCAGACAGGTAACATAAACAAATGAAGTGGTCCAATTCAGAGTGGCCATGCTGCAGGAGAGAGCCCCTGCTCTGCCTGAAAGGACAACTGTGGAAATGTGGGCCCAGGGTTGCCAAATCTTCTTAGTTTTCAGAAAAAGACAGATATCTGAATTTATTTGTGAAATCTTCTACTGTAAGTAACTAACTTAATATCTTTATATAAAAAAAATCATCATGTAGATCAAAGAAAATATATCTGGGGAGGAATGTTGGGCCCAAGCTAGTTTGTAATCTTTTCCCTGGACCCCTTCCTCAGTACAATTGAAACTTTGGTTAAAGAACCGATTTAAACACTACATGCTATCTTGAAAGCAAGCAAATACCTGACCTTTGGCCAGACTTTAGAATGCTAGGAAAGCTCAAGTGGTAAAAGAATCTGGGATAATGTAGCTCTTCACAGCTAATGCCTTGGGGAGAATATTACACAAGTTTAAGTAAGCCTAACATCCAGATGTACAAAGAACAAAGTATAGAATTTGGGAAGGAGTTAAGTGTGGGCCAGTGTCAAAGCTTGAAAACACTTGCATGCAATTTACTTTTGATTCTAGTAGGAAGTTGCAATGAATACTGGAGAACAAAACCTGGTCCCCAAGGGAAATTTATGAAACCATACAGACTCACCATGTGCTACTCCAGCGACTAAAGAATTGATTACTTAGGGTTTCTGAGGCTTTGGGTAGATTACAAGGTAAAAGATACGATACTGAAACAATATAGTGGATGGAAAACTCAAGGATGCTTTCTTTGTTAGAGATTAGACAAATAAAAGTGTTCAAGTATAGACCCCTAAATGCACAAGGAAGTGAGAGAATTTAACAAGATTCTCACTACCTGTACAGGGTTGACTAGTTTGTACCCCACCCCCAAACCCATTCATGTTCACTGGGAATTTGTGAATGTGAATCTATTTGGAAATTTGGTCTTTGCAGATGTAAACAAGTTAAGATGAAATCATATTGGATGAGGGTGGGCTCTAATCCAATGATTGATATCCTTGTGGGAAGATGGAATTTACACATAGACACACATTGAAGGAAGACAACCATATGAAGACAGAGGAAGATTTTAGAGTTACCACCTCTCCTTCCCTCCCCCCAAGGACTACTAGCAACCACCAGATGTTATAAAAGGCAAGGAATGATTCTCTCAAAAGCCTTTGGAGGAGGCAAAGCCCTGCTGGCTCCTTGATTTCAGCCTTCCAGCCTCCAGAATTCTGAGAGAATAAATTTCTATTGTTATAAGCCACCCAATTTGTGGTAATGGCAGCCCTAGGCCCTTTTCAAGCCACTTCTGGATGGAAGACTTGCTATGGTAAAATTATATAATGACTTACAATTATGCCCCAAATTGGAGCAATATGTAGGGCAGATAAAGCCACAGGAACCATACTGTCAATAGAGCATGAAAATCTAGTTTCTGGAGAGAATGGAAATGAGGAATAATGACTGGTAACCAAATGGAGAGCAGGAGAACTCAAACTCCAGTGGTGATATACACGCATTTATCCCAGAGTTGAAATAAATTTCATTTCATTTAGGGGAAACAAACACAATACAGATTTAAAAAACTGTATTCATCCTATCCTTGCCCAACTTAGCTTCCTTTTTGTGAAACAACAACAACAATAAACAAACAAAAAATAACTACAGGTATTTTATTGTCTTTGTGTATGTAAAGAACAAGATTAAGTATTAATCTATTTATAACTTTGTCCCATATGCAGGAAGTTTTCCTTATACAATACACACTCAAACAATAGGTTTACATAATTGTTGGAGGGGTGCTTTCCATTTTGCCTTTGTATTATTTAAAAATACACTCGATCTTAGCCAAAAGGCCAAGTAGCAATGTAGCATTTAAAAATAGAGAGAGAGCCCAGCTGGAGTGGCATAGCTGGTTGAAGCACTGTCCCATGCACCAAAAGGTTGCTGGTTTGATTCCCAGTCACGGCATGTACCTGGGCTGTGCGTTCGATCTCTGGTCAAAGTACGTACTGAAGGCAGCCAATGGATGTTTCTCTTTCACATCGACATTTCTCTCTCTCTCCCTTACTTTCTCTAAGCATGTCCTTGGGTGAGGATTAAAATAAATAAATACACACACACACACACACACACACACACACACACACACACACACACAGCATGTCCTTGGGCGAGGATTAAAATAAACAAACAAACAAACAACTCCCCCCCCCCCCCCCACACACACACCATTAATTTACCCATGGATTCTTAGTGTTAACACATTTGAGAACAATAAATGTCTTTGGACCAAATTCTGATTCTAAAGGCTTTCACCCACAAGGAACTACTTCTGGGCTCCAAGGAGCATGTCTCATAGAGATGTGGCATCTTCCAGGGTCAAAGGTGGTAATTTAACAGGACCTTGGAGGAATTCACAGATATTTCTCTAAAAAAAAGAAAAATCCACAAAAATGTCTGATCTAATCTGAATTTGGATCAGATCAACATTCTATTTTAGCATTAAAATATGGTTAAAATCAATTTTAGAGATTTTACATTTCCACAAAGAGCAT